GCTGAGGCAGGAGAATTGCCTGAACCCAGGAGGCGGAGGTTGCGGTGAGCCGAGATCGAGCCATTGTACTCCAGCCTGAGTAAAAAAAGTATATTTATTTAAAGTATAATTTATTTAAATTAATTATATTTATTTAAAGTATATTTATTTAAAATACACATGTATGTATTTTATTATAGCTTATATATATTTTATTCAGATATATATATTTATTTTGTAAGTAGGGACATAGTTTTCAAATTAAGGAGCTTTATTTTTTAGAGCAGCTTTAGACTGACAGAAGCACAGAACAGAAAGCATTGATCTCCTCCCCCTACCCCATCCTCCCCTCTACCCCACCCCCTCCCTTCACATTCCCGTTATGAACATTTTGCAGAAGTGCGCCGCATTTGCTGTGATTGTTGAGCCAGTATTTTACATTACTATTAACCAAAACCCACAGTTTACATTAGGGTTCACTCTTAGCAGCTTACCTTTTATGGGTGTTGACAAATGTGCGACACCATGTGTCCACCACTACAGTGTCGTAAGGAATGCTTCCACCGCTCTAAAAATTCTCTGGGCTCTGCCCATTCCCCCTTCCCCACCCCCAACACCCCTGGCAACCACTGGTCTTTTTACTGTCTCCCAGCGTTTGCCTTTTCCAGAAGGTTACATACTTGGAATCATACACTATGTAGCCTTTTCAGACTGGCGTCCTTCACTTGGCAATATCCATTTAAAGTTCCCCCATGCGTTTTTTTCATTGTATAATATTCCATTCTATGGATGGATGCAGCTTGTGTACCCATTCGCCTACTGGAAAACATTTTGGTAGCTTCCGCATTTTGACAATCATGAATAACGCTGCCGTAAACATGTGTGTGCAGGTTGTTGGGTGCACGTACATATTCAACACATTTGGGAGGGTGATTGCTGGGTTGTGTAGCAAGAGTATGTTTAGTTTTGTAAGAAACTGCTACACTGTCTCCCAGAATGACTGCACCATTTTGCATTCTCACCAGCAATAAATGAGAGTTCCTATTATTTATATTTACTTTTTTTTTGGAGAAGGAGTCTTGCTCTGTCGCCCAAGCTAGAGTGCAATGGCATGATCTCGGCTCACTGCAAATTCCCCATCCCAGGTTCAAGCAAGTCTCCAGAGTAGCTGGGATTACAGGCACCCGCCATCATGCATGGTTAATTTTTGTAGAGAAGGGGTTTCACCATGTTGGCCAGGCTGGTCTTGAACTCCTGACCTCAGGTGATCCACCCACTTTAGCCTCCCAAAGTGCTGGTATTAGAGGCGTGAGCCACTACACCTGGCCCTACATTTACTTTTTACTTATAAAATTAATAAGGGCTTCTTATAAAAATTCAAGCAATATACGAAGAATCCCATCCCACCCACAACTTTTCCCTTTGATCTAATTCCATAGACAGATAAAAAAATTACAGAGAAATTACAACGTTCATTCTTTACTTATTAGATTTGATATAAAGTTTTTAATAATTTCTTTGACAATACATTGACCTAAGAACCCTTAACTGCCTTTATTCCTTCCAAATTTGTGTGTATTTTACTTTTAAAAATTTATTTTAAAAATTCATGTACAGTAAAATTTATACCTCTTAATGCATAGTTCTAAGAGTTTTGACAAACCCTCCTTCAGCCCTTAACCCCTGGAAACCATTCATTTCTTTTCCATCTCAATATATTTACCTTGTTTAGAACATCATAGAGATGGAATCACACAATACATGGCTTTTTAAGTCTAGGTTTTTTTCACCCAGCACAAGGCCTCTGATATTCATCCATGCTGTTATGTGCATTAAGAGTTTGTTCTGTTTTATTGCTGAGTAGTTTCTTACCTCTCACTTTAGAAAACTAAAGGAGGCTTGGATGCTTTTCCTTTTTGGTGATGATAAAGCAGCTACACACACACACACACACACACACACACACACACACACACACACTGTTTTTTTGAGATGCTGGAGAGCAATGGTGCAATCTCAGCTCACTGCAATCCCCACCCACCAGGATCAAGCAATTCTCCTGCCTCAGTCTCCCAAGTAGCTGGGATTACCACCACACCTGGCTAATTTTTGTATTTTATTAGAGACGGGGTTTCACCGTGCTGGCTAGGATGGTCTCAAACTCCTGACCTTAGATGATCCACCCGCTTCAGCCTCCCAAATTGCTGGGATTACAGGTGTGGGCCACTGCGCCTGGCCCATATATGGTTTTTATGTGAAGATCAGTTTTCATTTATTTTAGGTAGATACCTAGGAGTGGCTTTGTTGGAATACATAAGTGTATGTTTAACTTGATAAGCAATTCCCAAACCATTTCTCAGAATAACTCAACTTCTCTCTCTCTCTCTCTCTCTTCTTTCTTCCTTCCTTTCTCCCTCCCCTCCCCTCCCCTCCCCTCTCTTTCTTTCTTAGATGGAGATTCTGTCTTGTCTCCCAGGCTGGAGTGCAGTGGTGCAATCTCAGCTCACTGCAACCTCCACCTCCCAGGTTCAAGCAATTCTCCTGCCGCAGCCTACCGAGTAGCTGGGATTGTAGGTGCCTACCACCATGCTTGACTAATTTTTGTAATTTTTTTTAGTAGAGACAGGGTTTCACCATGTTGGCCAGGCTGGTCTTGAACTCCCGATCTCAGGCGATCCACCTGCTTTGGCTCCCAAAACGCTGGGATTATAGGTGTGAGCCACCATGCCCAGCCATGTATTGTTTGTTTTCTTACTGAGTTTTGAATACATGCTTTGTCAGCATATGATATGCAAATATTTTCTCTCAGGCAATTGTCTTTTCATTCTTTTAACAGCATTTCTTACAGAGCAAGAGTTATTACATTTTGATAAAATCCCATTCATCAATATTTTCCCTTCTTTTGATACTGTATCTAACACATTGTCATCAAGATTTTCTTCTTTTACTAAAAGTTTTATAGTTTTCTGTTTTACATGTAGGTCTGTGATCCATTTTGAGTTAACTTTTGTCTAAAGTAAGAGATAAAGACCCAGGTTCTTTTTTTTTTTTTTAGCATATGGACATCTAATTTTTTCAGCATCATGTGTTGAAAAGGCTAGCCTTTGTATATTCTATAAAATCAATCAACCATACTGTGTGGGCCATTTTCTGCACTCTCTATTCCGTTTCAGTGATGTATATATTTATCTTTTCATCAATACTATACTCTCTGGATTACTGTATTTTTTATAATAAATCTTGAAATGACTTAGTGTGAGTCCTCTAATGTGAGTTCTTTGTTTTTCTTTTCAAAATGACTTTGGGTATTCGAATTTTTTTACCTTTCCTTATAATTTTCAGATCAGCTTGTTGATATCTTTAAAATATTCCACTAGTCTTTTGATTGGGATTGTGATGACTTTATAGATCAATTTGGAAAGAACTGTCATCTTAGCAATACTGAATCTTTCAGTTTATAAACACAGTATATCTTTTCATTCAATTAAGTCTTCTTTGATTTCTTTCATCAGTGTTTTAAAGTTTTCAGTAAACAGATCCTGTACATATTTTAGATTTGTAAATGGGGCTGTTTTTAAATTGTTTTTTAATTTTTCATTGCTGGTTTATAGAAATGTAGTTGATTTTTATAGATTACCTTTATATCTTGTGACATTGCTGAAATTGATTTTCAAAAGTTGTATCAGTCTAAAATTCTCAGGATAAACCTCATTTGGTCATGCTGTACTATCCTTTTAATGTTTCTGAATACTATTTATTAGTATTTTGTTGAGAATTTTTAACTGTAGATTCATGAGAGATATTGTTCTGTAGTTTTCCTTGTAATTCATAGAAATTTGACTTGGTATTATGGTAATGTGAGTCTCATATAATCTGTTGAAAAGTCTTTTTACCTTTTATATTTTTTGAAAGAGACTGCTGAATTCGTACTTCTTCTTTCATATTTTGCTAGAATTTAACATTGAAGTCATCTGGGCCTGGAGGTTTTTGTTTTTATTTCTCAAAAAATTTTAAACTACAAATTCCACTTTAAAAAATGTATATATATATATATATATATATATATATATATATATATACAGGACTATCCAGATTTTCTATTTCTTCTTGAGAAAATTTTGATCGTTTTTCTTATCAAGAATTTGGTCCATTTTAAAGTTGCTGAATTCATTCACATAAACTTGGTCATATTAGTCCTTATTCTTCTAATATATGTAGAATCTCTAGTGATAGCCTTTTTTCATTCGTGTTATTGATAATTCTCCCCTCTTCCTTCTTTTCCCTTATCAGTCCTTCTTGAGGTTTATTCATTTTATTGATCATTTCAAAGAATCTCTTTTGGTTACATGACTTTCTCTATTGTTTGGTTGTTTTCCATTTCATTGATATATGCTTTTTACCTTTATTATCACTTTTGGTTTGTTTGGGTTTATATGATCTCTTTTTAAAATTTCTTAAGGCAGAAGCTTAAACTATTGATTTGAGACCTTTTGAAGTAAAAGACTTCACACATGCATATTTTCTGACTTTTCTATCCAAGTACAGAAGTAACTGCAGTGACCGTTTAACAACCTCGCGTGTCAACAGCTGTGCTAGTTACTGTAAATGTTCACTTTCCCAAAAACCTTTAAGTGTTTGCTCTCTGTGATATTTCAGTAATATTCAATTAATATATTTATTTCCCATGACAATACTGATAGATTGTAGAAACGGAGGATCACTAGCAACCTGCATGTGTTTACCCAGTGGAGAGACTGAGATTTGAACCTAATAACAACTGATAATTTTTTTCCTTGCCAGAGCATTGGCTTGGTCTACACATTTACTGAACACCTAGTCTGCGCCAGTACTGTGCTTGGTCTCTGGGGTACGTGGTGAATGAGGGCAGTCTGATTCCTGCCCTCTGGAGCTCAGCCTAGAGAAGGAGACAGATGTAAATACATAGTTAGGATAACAGTTATTTGATTAGAGCATCATCAAGTAAATGGTTCTACAGCATTTTTACAGCTCTCTGCTTCCTAGGTTTGTTTTGATGTTGCGGATCGCTCAACAGGAAAAATTGTGGATAAATCCTTAATTTTCAACATTAGGATCAGTGATGTGAATGATCATGCACCCCAGTTTCCAGAGAAGGAATTTAACATCATTGTGCAAGAAAGCCAGTCTGCAGGTGTGTGCGGTTGAGGGGCTGCCGGGCTTCCTTCTGTCTCTGCTCTGTTTCACTTCCTTAAGATTGATGAGGAGCTTGATCCTAGTCGTCTTCAGGGAGAGTTTTTACTGTTCACATCTCAAAGGTCGCAGGCCCCGGATCGGAGTGAAATGCTTTGAGGTCTGTAAGCCTCGTTTTGTATTGGTAATAAAATGATGTTGAATTGCATCAGTGGGAAGAGCTGATATGTAAATGGCATTCTAAAAATAAAGCCACATGCAGTGAGGGAAAAAGAGCTGGGTGATGAGCTTCTGCATAGCTCTGCAAATTTTTTGTCTGAAAAATGGCAACACGACCACATCTAAAGCCTCCGAGTTACATACAGATACTGTGCATTTTAAAACCCAAACTACTCTTACTAGAATGTGGATCTATTTTTAATAACAAAAACCATTTTTTGGTATAATCATCTCTCCAAAAAATTCCAGGAAATGAAAAGACTGAAAAGAAAGCATCTTTAATACTGCCCATGAGAGATGAGCACCATTAATGTTTTAGTTTGCATTCTTTCAGAGTGTTCTGTGCATTTTCTGTGTGTGTACACACTGTGTGTTAGACTTATATACACGTGTAATATAATTACAAATGAATATGTTTTGTATTTGTAAATTATACAAAAGAATTTTATGTATAATTACAAATGCGTATTTTTTTGTATTTGTATTTATATATACATACTTTTTTGTATGTGCATACATTTTTAATATTTGTATATACATTTTTTTATCTTTATCATAGTATACATTGCATATGTGCATATAGTAAATATTTATATATTTATACATATTCTGTGTGATTTTTTACTTGTGCATATTTATAAATTTCCTCTCTAAAGATGCAATTTTACTGCTTGTAACTTGATGTTTTTCTAAAATACCCTTTGTGTAATATTTTATGGATGTGCTTTAAAGTATTTGACCGATCTCTTACTGTTGAAAATTTATGTTTTTGCCACTTTCTGTTACTTTTATAAAATATATTTAAATGATAAAACTTAAGCTATATCTATTTCCCAATGAAGCATTATTTACTTAGCATGAATTCAGACACATAGGCTTGCTGGTTCGTACTGCACATACAATGTAAGGGTCCTCATTTGCTCACCTGCCTGCAATCCATGAAGGCGCCTGGTGTGTTGCTGGTCTCGGATAACATGTGCTTGAACATTTTGATATATTCCTTGGCCATTTCCATGTTCTATCAGTGGCTTTTTCCTTTCTTTTCTTCATTTTTCTGTTAGTGCATTTGTCATTTTTCTTATTTTATCCTCAGCAGTCTATATTAAGAATATCTGCCTGCCATGTGTATTTCAAACGTATTTTTCTGCTTTATCATTTTCTTTTATATTTTGTCTATAGTTTTTTGCCAGACATTTAAAAATGTAATCTGATCTACCAATTTTGTCCTGTAACTCTTCTGCACTGGCAGTCATGATCTTATAGCTAATTAAAATTCATCCTTATCTTTTCTAGTATGTTCATAGTTTATTTTATATTTAAACATTTCATTCATCTTGGCATATGCCCCAATGCCATTTAGTAAATAATTCATCCTCTTACTGATTTGATGGGCTACCTTTCTCTGATAGTAACAATTTTTAAAAATTCCTTCTAGGTCAACCTATTTTTCAGATGTTAGCAGTTGATTTGGATGAAGAAAACACTCCAAATTCTCAAGTCCTTTACTTCCTTGTTTCTCAAACACCACTACTGAAAGAAAGTGGTTTCCGGGTTGATCATGTTAGTGGAGAAATATGACTCTCCGGATACTTAGGTTATGAGATTATGCGGATTTTATTATTTTTTAAAATGAAATGTGTGACCCATCCTTGAGCCCCAGGCTTAGATTCTACATTTGTAGTGGGGAACCCTCTGTGACTGGATTTGCTATTGAAATTGGTAAAACAATATTTCTTTATTAATATTTTCCTTTCCTGTATTCGAGGGGCTTAACTTTCCTTTTCCTTCCCATATAGACTGCTCCTCAGTTTACACTGCTAATCAGAGCCAGGGACTGTGGAGAACCATCACTGTCATCCACGGCCACCGTTCATGTGGACGTGCAGGAAGGCAACAACCACAGGCCCGCATTTACTCAGGAGAACATGAGCCACCTGGGCTGCCCCAATGTCTAAGCCCCAACACAAGTAGCCCTTGGGTCCTAGGCTCAGTTTTCCTTGGGGTGGGGGGGAGGCTGTTAGACTGTTATCATATTGCTATAAATAAATACCTGAGACTGAGTAATTTATAAAGAAAAGAAATTTAATTGGCTCACGGTTCTGCAGGCTGTACAGGAAGCATGGTGCTGGCTCAGCTTCTAGGGAAGCCTCAGGAAGTCTATGATCATGGCGGAAGGAGAAGGGGGAGCAGGCATATCACTTGGTGACAGCAGGAGCAAGTAACACACGGGGGGTGGGAGAATGAGGAACAAGAGAGATAAGAGGTGCCGCATACTCTTAAATGGCCAGATCTCACGTGAGCTCAGGACGAGAGCTCCCTTATCACCAAGGGGATGGCTGGAGCTATTCATGAGGGACCTGCCCCCATGATCCAGACACTTCCCACCAGGCCCCACCTCCAACATTGGGGATCACATTTCAACATGAGATTTGGGCAGGGACAAATATCCAAACGATATCAGGGAGTTACCCAAGATATGTGCAGTTCTCAAAAGTGACTTACGCTAGAATCAAGAAGCCAAATCATACTGACATAGAAGCACTTCGTAATGGTCACATGAGCTGACATGTTTGATGGACCTATGCCAGAAACTATGCTGAGAACTTTTACATGTGTTTTTACATTTTTGATTGTTGAAACTATGACATGATTTCTGTTTTAAAGATGGGAAAACTGAGGCCTCGGGAAGACAGAGAACTCCTGTTTACTTGAAGTCAGGGGTTCCTATGCTCAGCCCTTTTGACACTGGGCCGGATTATGATTTGGAATGGGGGCTGCTCTGCATGTGCAGGATGTTCACCAGCATCCCTGGCCTCTACTCCGTAGAAGTCAGTAGCACTCCTCAGCTGTGACCACCAAAAATGTCACTACACATTGCCAAATGTCTCTCAGGGAGAAGAATCACCCGTGGGTGAGAAGTCTGCACCTGAGGTTTTCACAGCGTATTCAGGATCCTAGAGGGGAAGGTGAGCAGGCTGGCTTTGGCCTCGCCTTCCCACCTCACTTGGTTTGTATGTCAGGGTCCACATGGGATTTTCCAGGCTGCAAGACATCTAGCCTTTAAGAAAGTGTTGAAAACCACTGTGTAGGACGGTTTGGGACTGATGCGCCACTTAAAGGCATGTGAGATGGCTAAAAGAGAAAATAAGAATCGCCCAAGATCTATTTCCAATCTTTTATTTTTTACTATTCCCTATGTACTTTTAAAGAGTGAATATCGACCATGTTTTCTTCTTTCTCCTGACTCTCTCAGTGAGGCCTTTCTTCACTACCCAGGTAAAACCCTCCCATTTCTTTTCTGGGACACACTTGAGCCCTTTTGTGCTTTTTTCTTCTTAGTAGTGTTCTACTTAATCACTTAATTTCATTTATTGTATGAACCCCTGTTACACACATGCATGCACACACACATGCACACACGCACGCGCATGTGCGCACGCACACACACACACACACTCAGCTCTCAGCTTCCCAAGGATGGAATTGTTGCCTGTCTTGCTCATGGCGTCTGAAATGGAATGTGGCACACAGTAGCTGTTGTTGAATAAACGATGCAAACAATGATTTTTAAAAGGTGTCGTTTAATATTACAAAAACCCTATAAGCCAAAGTGAAATGTTTGCAAACCAAAGCACCTCGCCAGAAGCATATAATAAGTACGAAACTATGTTATGTTTGAACCTTGTTTCAAAATCTTTTCCTGTCTTGGTAAAAAGCCATGCTCTCAAAAATACAGCTGGAAAAAAATACACCCTGTTATTTTGAAGTGCTCATCTAGAAACATTGTCTCCAAAAATATTGAATAACAAGTCATTTTGAAGATCTATGTGTGTAAGAAAAATGATCACCTTAGTCTGAATAAACCACAGTGTCCTATTTTATGGGAAGAGCTAGGGTTTTTGGAGAGCATAAACTAGGATTGCATACTAACATTTGTAAAAGTCTTGGAAAAAAATAGTGCATTGAGTTAGATTTAAGAGTACTTTAAAATTATTCAGCAAGTCGCAGGTAGGAGAGGGCAGATATTCTAATGGATGCACCTTCTGCTGTAACAGGTAGGTCAGGTTCAGCAGCATGAGGACTATCCAAGGTGCTGTGCTGAGGAGCTACGTTTTCTTTCTCCTCGCCTCTCTGGCTCTCTCCACATCTCTCTTTCCCCTTCCTCTCTGCTTTCCTTTCCAATTGTGTTTCTCTCCATGATATGGACATGATGATTGCCTCTTTCAGTATAAGGTTCAGATTCCTGAAGGCCGAGTCAGCCAGGGCGTGCTGCGTCTCCTGGTTCAAGATCGAGATTCTCCATTTACATCAGCTTGGAGAATAAAGTTCAACATCTTGCGTGGCAATGAGGAGGGACATTTTGACATTTCGACTGACCCTGAGACCAACGAAGGGGTATTACATGTTATCAAGGTAACATCATAGCAGTGACATGTGAACCAGGTGGTGGCAGACGCTGAGGCCCCTTCTGTAGGATCACTTGTAATGAACTAGGAGCTAACACCATGGATGCTGTGTGCTGAGCCCATTACGTACCATGTGTCACCTGGCAAGGAAGGCAGGGTCTCAGTGCCACTTCTGTGTGTAGGCTGAGCATTCCTCCTCCCAAAATAATATCAATAATAAAACTTTTTTGATATGACTAAATACTCCACCATTTAATTTGTTGTTGTTTTAGGCAAAATATAATAGATTTACATTGGCCTAAGAATGATTATTCCTTTTCAGATGTGATTTAAAAAATGAAAACATTTTCTTCAACCTTAATCATTGTTTCTTTTTGTCTGAGTTGTCAATGTTTAAGATTTTTAAAGTTTAAAAGAAATGGGGGTGCTTTTGTGTGGCCCCTAAGAGTATGGAGAGCCTCTGGTACTGTGCCTAGTGGAGAAGCTGGCCTGGAAGAAAGTATTCATATTACCATCTCACTCTACTGATTAGGAAACCAAGGCCCAGAGGGGTTAGGTCTTTTACACAAAGCCACACAGCTAGAGAGTGGTGGAGTGGAGGATCCCCCGGGGCAGTCTGACCCCAGTACCTCTAGTCTTCGTTGCTCACAGCCAGACCTAGAGTGACCAGGGCTTCTAGTGCAGTGCGGTGCAGGTGAGTCACCTGGGGACAAGGCAGACCTGAGCCAGTGGGTCTGGGGCAGGGCCCGAGATTCTGGTACTCACTTAACCAGGGGATGCCAATGGCCTACAGACCGTGCTGTGAATAACAAGACTCGACAGATGCTCCACCAGATACGGGGGGTTGAATTTCAAAATACTCCCAGCCCCTCCATCCTTTTAAGTCAACTGGCCACTTTGTACCCGAATGACTGTGATCATTAATATCCATATTTCCCTAAGCTCCCCTGATTTTTTTGTTTTACAGCACGGTTGTCTCATTCATGTTTCATTAGGCGACGGTTTTTGTTGCATTTTTCATTACTCTCTCAAGGATGGTGGCTCTTTTCAGCCAGAAGAGGAGGAGGGAAAAATAAAAGAGAAAAGAACTCCATAAATGATTTGAAAATGAGCTGAAGACTGTCTTTTTGATCATTACCAAAGACAATGTAAATAATAAATGAAGTGCAAAATCCACAGGCTTTGAGTTCGCCATGATGACTCTGTGCTGGGCTTCCTCTGGCTAGAGAGGCAGCAGGTGCTAATGAAATTCTTTCTCTGGGGTTCCGGCCTTTGGATTACGAGACTCGCGCAGTGCAAAGCCTCGTCATTGCCGTGGACAATGAGGAGCAGCTCTTCTTCTGTGAGAGGGGAAAGCTTCAGCTGCCAAAGAAGGCCACAGCAAGTGCCACTGTGAGTGTGCAGGTGGCAGATGCCAATGACCCACCAGCCTTTCACCCCCAGGGCTTCATTGTTAGTAAAGAGGAGGACGCTGGACCTGGGACCCTGTTGGGAACTTTTAATGCTATGGATCCAGACAGCCAGATAAGGTGAGAAGAGAGGGCCAGAAAGGGCGGTTGTTTGGGTGGAAATAGCCACATAGCCGAGAGGGCTCCTATTGGAAAACCAGCTCCTTGAGCGTGTTCACAAGGCTGCCTCAGTCTCCGTGATGAAAATACAAGAAGCCACAGCAGAGGACCACTGGCCTGGGTTAAATGTCGTCTTCCATCCGCAGCTTTTTCTGACCCCACCAGGAGAACTCACTTGTTGGTTCTCCTTTGCATTTTCCACATTTCTTTTTGTATTCTTTCCTTTGTGTTAGAATAATTTATTATATTTTTCTATCTCACCCCTCTGTACCAGAAATTATAAACCAGCACCTCTCTTGCTTCTGGGCAAGAAAAGTGAGGTTTTTTTTTTTTTTTTAGGAAGTTGTGGGAAATTTACCATTTTATCCATTTTTGAAGGGTACAGATCAGGGGCATTAAGTATATTAACAATGTTGTGCAGCCATCGCCCCCGTCCATCGCCAGAGCTCTTTTTATCTGGCAAAAGAGGAGCTCTGTCCCCATTCACCACTCATTCCTCCTTCCCCCCTCTCCAGCCCCCGGCCCCCACCATTCGACTTTTTGTCCCTCTGAATTTGACGACTCCAGGTAATTTGTGAAGTAGATGCATATAACATTTGTCTTTAGGTAACTGGCTTATGTCACTTTGTATAATATCCTCAATGTCCATGCACGTTTAGCATGTATCAGAATTTCCTTCCTTCCTTTTTGATGCTGAATATGCATATGTGGTATTGACACAGTTTTGTTTATCCACTTATCCATTGATGGGCACTTGGATTGCATATGGCCTGAATCTCCTGATGTTCTTGAAGAAATGAAAGAACTTGGCATTTTTGGGTCTGTGTTCCATGAGATCATGATCATGGGGACAGAGTGGGGTCACGTGTCATGATGACCCTTCCCTCTCCTGGCCGAGCTTAGCAGTCAGCCCCAGGCCCCATTCCGCTGGCTCCACTCATTTCTAGTGCTTGGTTGCCCCTGTCCACCCTCTGGTGTGAGATTCCTCCCCTTACAGCAATACTTCTCAGTTTGTCTGTTGGGAAAGGCTAGGCTTTTAAAAAATTTACAATTTATGATGGTGTGGTCAGTTTGCAAAATCTAATGAAATTGAATTACTAGAAAAATCGTCATGTGCTGGGGGACACAGCAAGGCTGACAACTCTAAGAGCTTCTCAACGCTTGCTCTTCATTATTGCAGTTATCTTGTGAGCAGCTAACGAGAGTTCACAGACCCCTTCTGGTGCACAGTGGTGCGTCTTGAGTTAGCATGGCTCTTAAGAGGTGGCTGTCAAACTATAGTGTGTATCAGTCTGTAGGGGAACTTGTTAAAATGCAGATTGCTGGGCCCCACCACTAGAATTTTATTTATTTATTTATTTATTTATTTATTTATTTATTTGAGATGGTGTCTCTCTCTGTCACCCAGGCTGGAGTGCAGTGGCAAAGTCTCAACTCACTGCAACCTCCACCTCCCAGGTTCACGTGATTCTCCTGCCTCAGCCTCCTGAGTAGCTGGGACTACAGGCACATGCTACAACATCTGGCTAATTTTTGCATTTTTAGCACAGACAGGGTTTCGCCATGTTGGCCAGACCGGTTTCTAAAGTGCCCCTAGAGTTTGATTGAGAGGTCTGGGGCCAGAACTGAGATTTGCGTTTCTAAGAAGCTCCCAAGGATGCCAGTGATGCTGATTGGGGCTCCCTTTCTTTTTTTGTTTTAATTAATTAATTAATTAATTTTTTATTGCATTTTAGGTTTTGGGGTACATGTGAAGAACATGCAAGATTGTTGCATAGGTACCCACGTGGCAGTGTGATTTGCTGTCTTTCTCCCCATCACCTACATCTTTCTTTTTTTTTTTTTTTTTTTGAGATGGAGTGTCACTCTTGTTACCCAGGCTGGAGTGCAATGCCGCAATCTCGGCTCACCGCAACCTCCGCGTCCTGGGTTCAGGCAATTCTCCTGCCTCAGCCTCCTGAGTAGCTGGGATTACAGGCATGCGCCACCATGCCCAGCTAATTTTTTGTATTTTTAGTAGAGACAAGGTTTCACCATGTTGACCAGGATGGTCTCGATCTCTTGACCTCGTGATCCACCCACCTCGGCCTCCCAAAGTGCTGGGATTACAGGCTTGAGCCACCGCGCCCGGCCGCACCTATATCTTTCAACACCACTGATAGAGAGGCTTTTCTTATTTTATTTTATTTTTTTAATTGTACTTTAAGTTCTGGGGCACATGTGCAGATCTTGCAGGATTATTGCATAAGTACGCACATGCCATGGTGGTTTGCTGCTTCCATCCCCCCATCATCTACATCCAACATTTCTCCCAGTGTTATCCCTCCCCAACCTCCCCACCCACCCCGCTGTCCCTCCCCTAGTCCCCCATCCCCCAACAGACCCTAGTATGTGATGTTCTCCTCCCTGTGCCCATGTGTTCTGATTGTTCAACACCCACCTATGAGTGAGAACACGTGGTGTTTGGTTTCCTGGTCTTGTGTCAGTTTGCTGAGAATGATGGTTTCCAGATTCACCTATATCCTTACAAAGGACATGAACTCATCCTTCTTTATGGCTGCATAGAATTTCATGGTGTATATGTGCCACATTTTCTTTATCCAGTCTATCACTGATGGATATCTGGGTTGGTTCCAGGTCTTTGCTATTGTAAACAGTGCTTCAATGAACATACATGTGCATGTGTCTTTCTAATAGAACGATTTATAATCTTTGGCTATATACCCAGTAATGGGATTGCTGGGTCAAATGGTATTTCTATTTCTAGATCCTTGAGGAATCTCCATACTGTTTTCCACAATGGTTGAACTAGTTTACACTCCCACCAACAATGTAGAAGTGTTCCTATTTCTCCACATCCTTTCCAGCATCTATTTTCTCCAGATTTTTTAATGATCACCATTCTAACTGGCGTGAGAGGGTATCTCAATGTTGTTTTGATTTGCATTTCTCTAATGACCAGTGGTGTTGGGCTTTTTATCATATGTTTGTTGGCCTCATAAATGTCTTCTTTTGAAAAGTGCCTGTTCATATCCTTCGCCCACTTTTGAATGGGCTTGTCTGTTTTTTTCTTGCAAATCTGCTTTAGTTCTTTGTAGATTCTGGATATTAGCCCTTCTTCAGATGGGTAGATTGCAAAAATGTTTTTCCATTCTGTTGGTTGCTGGTTCACTCTAATGATTGTTTCTTTTGCTGTGCAGAAGCTCTTAAATTTAATTATATCCCATTTGTCTCTTGGCTTTTGTTGCTGTCGCTTTTGATGTTTTAGTCATGGAGTCCTTGCCTATGCTTATGTCCTGATTGGTATTGCCTAGGTTTTATTCTAGGGTTTTTATGGTGTTAGGTCTTATGTTTAAAACTTTAATCCATTTGGAGTAATTTTAGTGTAAGGTGTAAGGAAGGGGTCCAGTTTCTGTTTTCTGCCCATGGCTAGCCAGTTTTCCCAACACCCTTTATTAAAGAGGGAACCTTTTCCCCATTGCTTGTTTTTGTCAGTTTTGTCAAAGATCAGATGGCTGTAGATGTGTGGCATTACTTCTGAGGCCTCTGTTCTGTTCCATTGGTCTGTATCTCTGTTTTGGTACCAGTACCATGCTGTTTTGATTACAGTAGCCTTGTAGAATTGTTTGAAGTCAGGTAGCATGATGCCTCCAGCTTTGTTCTTTATGCTTAGGATTGTCTTGGCTATGTGGGCTCTCTTTTGGTTACGTATGAAGTTTAAAGTGGTTTTTTCCAGTTCTGTGAAGAAGGTCAATGGTAGCTTGATGGGGATAGCATTGAATCTATAAATTACTTTGGGCAGTATGACCATTTTCACGATATTGATTCTTCCTAACCATGAGCATGGGATGTTTTTCCATCTGTTTGTGTCCTCTCTTATTTCTTTGAGCAGTGGTTCGCAGTTCTCCTTGAAGACAGCCTTCACATCCTTTGGTAGTTATATTCCTAGGTATTTTATTCTCTTTGTAGCAATTGTGAATGGGAGTTTGCTTATGATTTGGCTCTCTGTTTGTCTATTATTGGTGTATAGGGATGCTTGTGATTTTTGCACATTGATTTTGTATCCCGAGACTTTGCTGATGTTGCTTATCAGCTTACAGAGATTTTGGGCTGAAATGATGGGGTCTTCTAAGCATACAATTATGTCATTTGCAAATAGAGACAATTTGACTTCCTCTTTTCCTAACTGAATACGCTTTATTTCTTTTTCCTGCTTGATTGCTCTGGTTAGAACTTCCACTACTGTATTGAATAGAAATGGTGAGAGAGAGCATCCTTGTCTAGTGCCAGTTTTCAAAGGGAATGCTTCCAGTGTTGGTTGTGAGTTTGTCATAAATAGCTTTTATTATTTTGAGATATATTCCATTGATACCTAGTTTATTGAGAGTTTTTAGCATAAAATGCTGTTGAATTTTGTCAAAGGCTTTCTCTGCATCTATTGAGATGATCATGTGGTTTTTGTCTTTGGTTCTGTTTATGTGATGGATTACATTTATACATTTGCGTATGTTGAACCAGCATTGCATCCCTGGGATGAAGGCTACTTGATCGTGATGGATAAGCTTTTTGATGTGCTGTTGCATTCAGTTTGCCAGTATTTTATTGAAGATTTTTGTATCTATGTTCATCATGGATATTGGCCTGAAGTTTTCTTTTGCAGTTGTGTTTCTGCCAGGTTTGGGTATCAGGATGATGTTGGTCTCACAAAATGAGTTAGGGAGGATTCCCTCTTTTTGTATTGTTTGGAATAGTTTCAGAAGGAATGGTACCAGTTCCTCTCTGTACATCTGGTAGAATTCAGCTGTGAACTGTCTGGGTCTGGACTTTTTTTTGTTGATTGGCTATTAATTGCTGCCTCAACTCCAGAAATATTTTGGTGTTTTGATGTAATTTTTTACATCTTTTGATGTACCTTTTTAATTTTAACAATTGCTGTCCGTTTTCCTTCTACAAGATATAACTGATTCATGACCCAGCAAATTGGGTCAGTGTTGATGAAAACTCTGGAGTGGTCACCACCGTGGAGTCAATTGACCAAGAAGCCCCTCCTGTAAATGACAGTTTTTATATGATCATTGTTCACGCTGTTGATGATGGTGAGTGTTTACCCAAAATTGGAAAAATAAAATGCTCATTCTTGCTTCCTGCGGGAAAATAACCCTCATGAGAGTCTTTCAGCGCAGCTGAGAAAAAGATAAAATAAACCTTGTTATCACTCTGCATCCATGCTGGTGATTATTTTTGGTAATAATTCTTTAAATGGTAAACGAGGGAGCAATACCATCAAAAAGGGCAGCATTCATTCAGAAGAGACAATTAAACCAGCAAGGAAGCTGCAATCAAACCCGACATCTTTTTCATCTGTTCATGAGCTAACTCTTTAGTTCTTTGTCAAAGCCAATGATGTGTGATAAATATGTAGCCCAGCTTCCCTGTGCTGGGGAGGGCACACGAGCTCAGGTCAATGGGACTGTAAGGGACATGTTTGTCATGAACCAGGATGGGTGGTTTTATGAGCATGATTCAGCACTTTACTCTCTCCTAAGGCTGAATCTTTAAACACAACAAAACAAAGCTGAAGAAATAAAAATGTTCACATAACTTTAAAACTGTATTTAAGAAAGACTGTGAACTAAAACCCAAGCTCCAAGTGATATTTCACTATACGTTCCACTCTGTAATTAACTAGTGGAATGTTAGAGGTGGGGGCAATGGAGATATGAAACATGTTCCTAATCCGTATGAAGGAAGGAGAAAAAGCGGGATCAATGTTTCCGGGCTCCCTGATTCTGCGATGGATGATTTTATGATTGGCACTTTTTTCTGTCTTTTTTTTTTTGTATTTCAAAAGCCTTTGGGGTACAAGTGGTTTTTGGTTCTGTGGATGAACTGTGCAGTGGTGAAGTCTAGGGTTTTACTGCACTGGCCACCTGAGTGGGGCACGTTGGATCCAGTGTGAGGTTTCTTAGCCCTTGGCTCCCTCCTCCTTGCTTCTGAGGCTTCAGAGTTCCTTATATCACTCTTATGCCTTTGTGTATCTATAGCTAGCTCTCACGTACAAGTGAGAACATAGAGTATTTGGTTCCACTAGTTAATTACAGAGTGGAACGTATAGTTACGTATCACTCAGAGCTTGGGTTTTAGTTCACAGACTTTCTTGAATACAATTCTAAAGTTATTTGAACATTTTTATTTCTTCAGCTTTGTTTTGGTGTGTTTAAAGATTCAGCCTTAGGAGAGTGTAGAGAAAAGTGCTGAAACATGCTCATAAAACCACCCATCCTGGTTCATGACAAATGTGTCCTTTACAGTCCCATTGACCTGAGCTCGTGTGCCCTCCCCAGCCCAGGGAAGCTGGGCTACATATTCACTTAGAGGAATGGCCTCCAGCTCTATCCACATTGCTGCAAGAAACGTTATTTCATTCTTTCCTATGGCTGAGTAGTATTTCGTAGTGTAAGTATGCCATATTTGCAGTTGTGAATTGATGATTGCCGCTTTTTTCATTAGGAAAAGTACTTTTAGATAATTGTAGATTCCCTTGCAGTTTTAAGAAATAATCTAGTGGATCCTGAGTATCCTTTGCCAGTTTCCCCCAGGGCAACACCTTGCAGGACTACAGTTTAACCTTGTAACCAGGACATCGATGCAGAGAAGCAGGGCATTTCCCTCCCCACGGGACCCCCATGGTGCCCTTCTTTAGTCACAGCCATTTTCCCCACCCCACCCATCCTTGATGCCTGGCACCATTGATTGACCTTTTGTTTGTTTGTTTAATGATGCCTCATTCTATGTGTTCTACAAATTATTTAAGGTGGCCACTGTTTTGTTAGCTTACCTTACCCAGATATTCTGAATGTTCATAAAGGCAGGAAAACAGATCACGTGCATGCTAGGAGAGCTTATGACTTTGAAAGGGAAACAGTTCCAGTATCTCAGGAATATTTTTTTTTTTTCTGAGAGATAGAAAGTGCTCATTCTCCAGGGCTCTGTGTGCATGAAATAAACAACTCCTCCTGGAACTTCCTCCCTTTACAAGGCCTCCCACCGCAGACTGCTACGGGGACCCTAATGCTCTTCCTGTCTGACATCAATGACAACGCCCCAACTCTCCTGCCCCATTCCCGCTACATGCAGGTCTGTGAGTCTGCCGTGCATGAGCCCCTCCACGTCGAGGCAGAGGATCCGGACCTGGAGCCCTTCTCGGACCCATTTACATCTGAACTGGACAACACCTGGGGAAATGCAGAGGACACGTGGAAGTTGGGGAAAAATTGGGGTGAGTGTATTGGTCAGGGGCAAAGAGTGGAAAATGAAAGACATCCATTTCAAAGAAATTTAGGCAAAAAAAGACTTTATTAGCTTAAAAAGCCAGATAAGTCTGTTTTCTGGCAGACTAGGTGCTCAAAGGACATCCCTGGAAGCCACCTTCCCACACACGGTCTACCTTTCTCTGGGTTCCTTCAGTTTTAGTAAGCTCACCTCATCAAGGGGTAGGAGGCTGCTGGGAGTCCCTGAGACACATCCTCGCACCTGGCAAGAAGGGTGTTTCCAGGAAAGCTCCAGGATTGATGTCACTGTTTGGCCTTGGTCAGCTGCCCTGTCAATCACTGTGGATGGGACTTGGGAGGGCAGATATGCTGATTGGCTGGCTCCCAGCCCACACCTGGACCTTGTAGAGATCTGGGCTCAGCCTCTCCTGCTTCATACTGAGAATTCAGGAAGTGTGGGCTTCCCCAGAGAAACACTGGGCACTGTTACCAGAAGATGAACATGCTGAGCAGGTGAAAAGCAGCTGGCATCCACTGTCAGCACTCTCCTCTGTGCCTCTATCTGTGGGATCTGTAGACTGTGGCATGGTTTTAGCTGACACTGTGTGCTCATGTTTATAGCTCCCAGATCTGAAGTATGTAGTAAAGCACTTCATCTTGCCCAAAGAGAGGTGTGGTCTTTGTCCATGCGGTCTGGGTGATCTCTAAGCCCTTGGGATATCATGTCTGATACAAGTGTCTCTTTACCTGGGGCGTCTTGGGCTGAGCCTGATAGGGTCAATGTGATTTAGATTGGGGACTTCTGGTCACATAGTATCAGTTGACTACCAGAGAGGCTGGAGACTGAGGCTGCTCACTTGGGAGGCCCACCAGGTTGCTGCCAGCATCCCATGTGTGTGTCCCTCATCCATGCTGACCTGGCTTCTCAAGAGAGGATGTTGAGAAGCTCTGTAGTTGGTGCTTTTCTGGACTCTGCCCTAGGTGCCCTTTTCCTTGTCTGATTTTCATCTAGATCTTTTCCCTGTAGAAAATGGTGCCATCACTAAAACAACTTCCAGTGTGTTCCGTGAGTCTTTCTAGAGAATTGCTGAACCTGAAGGTGATCTTGGGAATCCCTGAACTTGCAGTTGGTGTCAGAAGTAAGGGTGCTACTGGGGACCCCTCCCTCCAACTCTGCAGTGGGCTTACTTTTGTACAGAGCTTGGCTTGTGCAGGGTGCTTAGTAAGCATGCATTAAGCAGATGAACAGATGAGTGAGTGAATGCATGCCACATTCTTTTTTCCTTTGCAGGTCAGTCAGTTGAACTTTTAATCTTGAGGAGCCTGCCACATGGTAATTACTTGGTGCCACTCTTCATTGGCGACAAACAGGGACTTTCCCAGAAGCAAACTGTCCATGTGGGGGTCTGCCCCTGTGCCAGTGGGCTCACGTGTGTGGAGCATGCGGATGCAGGAGTGGGGCTTCTTGTGGGGGTTCTGTCCCCTGTGTGTGCAGCATTTGTGGCTCTGGCAGGTCAGTGGTCTGTAGGGGTGTCCTGGGACCGTGGCTCCTCTCCCTAGGCAATACGCCAGGGGTATGGAGTTTGCTGGGGCAGAAGACAGCCGGTGGCAGGATTGGTGGAATGGCTCGAAGGATGACTTCTGGGTTTACTCAGCCTCCTAGATGCAGATCAGAGGTTGCCATGCTGGCCGGACGAGACCCCTGGTCAGCAAAAGCAGCTTCTCCTTGCAATGGAATCCATCAGTAAACACAGTCAAGGAGTGGCCCTTTGTTTGTAATAGCCATGGGGATGGCAATGTCCAGATATCCAGGCTCCTGGACTTGGCAAAGCTAATAAGAAGGCAGTTTTTCCAAGAAAAACAGTATGACTAGGCCAGATAGTATTACTGAGTAATTCAACAAACAGTTCTGTAGCATCTACCTGTGACCCCAAAGTGTGCTAAACTTGGTGGCTACACAGGTGACTGATACAATTTGGCCTTGCCAGTTCATGGCTGAGTTATCAAGTAAACAGAACAAGGCCCTCATGAAACCTCTGATATGAGTGAGCTTGTCTAATCCGTTTTCCCCTTTTGTCTTATCACAGTGGCTCCGCTTTTCCTGCTGCGATACTGTTTTGTGCTTGAATCCAAGAGGCGCGGATGCTCAATCTCCAATGGCAAAGGCCATCAAACACTGGTCGCGTATAATGAGGAGAGCAAAGCCACTTCAGCCCAGGTAGTGGAGAGTCATGCTTTGTGTCTTATGGCAAGGAATTCAGTAATACACAGACACATAGCACATGTTTTTTCACCATTGTACCACCTCTTACTTCACTCTTACCCATGTTTGAGTAGCAAGTGGGAAAAAATGCCTGCAAAAGCTATCTAACTCAGGTAGATGAACTTATTGTTTTAGACCGGTGGTTCTCAACCATGAGTAATTTTGCCCCGTAGGGATATTTGCCACTGCCTGGAGACAGTTTTGATTGTCACGGTTAGGGGTGCTATTGGCATCTAGTGGGTTGAGGGCAGAGATGCTGCTAAACATCCTGCAGCCACGAGACAGCCTCTGCCACAGAGAATTCTCTGGCCCAGTCTCCAAAGTGCTGAGTTTGAGAAAATGTGCTCAGGGGAGAAGTGATTTTTATTAGGTAGACGTTCCCTAAATGGGATGGTATTAGGCTCACTAGTTGAATGATCTGAGCTGGCTTCTTGGCCCTGGCCTTTGGTAGGGCGTGGCAGCACGTGTTCTTCTCTCCTTGCCTGGCAGAGGGCAACCAGGAAAGCCTGGGCTCTGTTTCTGCGTTTGCATCTCATTAGCTACGTTGTTTAATCCCACATCCTCCTCTGTGAACTGAGAGGATAAAGTCAAATTCACAGATAGGTTGTGGATCAGAGAGGATGCCTATGAAGGCACCTAACACAAGGCCTGACCCACTGATTGGCAGTAGCCACTGGTTTTTCAAATCTGCTGCTTCTGAAATAAGCCCTACCTTATTTTAGTCATCCTTGCAGCAACCCTGGGCTGGGGTTAGACAGACAGAGATGAAAGCACTGTGAGCTCTCCTGTTTGTCTTTATGTAGAATTAAGTGGTTGACTTAGGAAATGAACACAAAAGAAATGTCAAAAAAAACACACACACAGAGGATTCAGTCACCCCATCTTACATCTCCACCAATGGTTTTTTTCCTGGAAGAGAGAGATTTGTTGAATGAAATGAGACACTTGAGGGAAAAAGATACTCCAATGAACTTTGATATGATGCTCATGTAATTAGAGAGATTTTTCTCAAAAACATTGGATTGAAGAAACTGGTGCTCACCCAAGGCTCCCAGGGTTCTTTGCATTTTGTCTTCCCTGCGGCGTGAAGGAGGGAAGGGAGCAGCTGCTTAGGCTCCTCTACAGGTGTGTGCCTGCGCACCCTCCTGTGAGCCCTTCCTGGGTGTGGGTGAGGAAGCAGGAGCAAGGTCCAAACTCTCTAGGTTGTGAAATCCCCTGGAAGGAATCCCCCCATCCTAAATGTGAGAGCAGCAGCCAACTTGATTTGTTGTGAAATTTTAAGAAGAAAACCATCTGGACAAACGGCAGCCTTTGTATAACAGTAGAATTTTTTGCCTTGGAGAGTTCCACTGGCTCAGAGGCTCAACCATGAAGGAAAACAGAAATGGTTCCCAGGCCCAAGGGCTGTGCCTCAACCTCCTTCTAGGTGGGAGGGAGTGAGGGCTGCTGAGCTTGGGGGAGACTGGCAGGAATGTCGCACTCCCTGAGCACTGGTTCAGGTTGTAGCAGAGATGAAAGGGGCAGAGGGGATGCCCTGGGTACCCCCTCGCCCGGCAGCTTTGTGACTGGCTCCTGGAAAAGAGAAAGCTGCTATGGAAGCAGTGTGCATGGAAAGGAACCTTGGCCAGTGTGATGCTCAGACCAGGAGGGTTGGAGGGGATTCGATGGCATGGTGGCACTGGTCAAAGACCAGCTATGCCAGAGGGACAAGAGAGCTTCATCCAGTGCAAGGGGCTCTGTTCTGTTCTCTTTCCAGCAGATCTTCCTCTTGTTTCCCACTCACAGCCAAAGGTACATTTCCATTCCTGCTTCAGTTTCTTAGGGCTCTGAGAAGTAGGATCCAACAGACCTGGATCCACAGATTCCAAATCTGTGATTGATCAGTTACATAATCTAACAGATTCTGGCTTTCATATATAAGGTGAGCTTGATAGTCCTCTTAGGTTTATTGGATGCTTTAATCAAATAATACATGTAAAAATGTTGGCACTCACAGGCATGCAATAAGGGGCGGCTGCTAATATTAGCATTATCAGCAGTGGTTACTGATTATGTCTTTGTAACCTTGGTGAACAAAACCATCTCTAGGTGCACTTACCCTCTATCCATCTTGCACAAATACACCAGCCTACACTGCATATCCACTCACCAGGGACATTCTGTGCTCTTGGGAAGACTCCATCTAAGACATCACCACTAGCTGCACACACATTGTCACATTCTGCTGCTAAACTATAGGGATGCCATCTGATGACCTATGGGACTGCATAGATGCCTTCCCTGCATATCAGGACGCTCATGAGCCCTTGGCCAACAGAAATCCAGCAGCCATCAACATGAGTCCCTCCGTGAACATATATGTTGGGTGATAAACAAATGGGAGAATGTACAGAATACCATGCAACAGTGGTGACCCCCAAGAGCCGTCACCACAAGCCCTAGAAAAATATGAGCTTCGAGATTCTGAGGGCTCCTGAAACAAGTCTTTTACCATCAGTTTATGTGGAACACTGAACCATGAGAAGCTTAACCTCCCAGTGAGCAATTACAAAAGACAAACAAAAATAACATTTTTACCCACATAAGTCGTCCAGATTTATAGGCTAGGTGTCTTTTTTACAGTCTGGACTTCTTCTGTGTCGGCATAGATACAATGTGTTTTGGAGAAAATGCCATTCCTTTCCTTCTGTTTTTATTTCTGCAGTCTCTTGTTTCAGCCCCTCTCATATTTCTTCCTCTGTGTTCTACAGACATGGTCAGATGTTGAAGGCCAGAGGCCGGCTCTGCTGATTTGCATGGCTGCAGCGACAGCCACACAGGGAGCTAAGGTAACATGTCCCTTACTTGCTTCTGGATTTCAAACAGAGAAGTGACTTTCCTGTTTCCCTGACGAGGAACACCCGGGATGCTCCCTCAGTGCCACATCCAGGGAGGTCCTTTTGCAAGTCAGTGACCCAGCCCCCACTTGAAAAGCCCCATGGTTCCCATAGCGTAACACACCCTTGCCTTTCGGTGGCCAAGTTCCTTCATCTTTGCTACGGCATCAGATGACCCAGTGCTTCCAAATATCACTGTGTCCAGTGCCACATGATCATGTTTTGCCACATGCAGCTGCTACTTGGACTAGCGTATTTCTTAAAACACTTTTTTCTTAAAATGGGCGTGTGTCCACATTAAGTACATTTATTTAAGTAGGAAGTTTTATATTTCAACCGTAAATAAAAACAGTTTTACTTATATAAAGAGCAGGCAAGTGTGAAAATAGACACAAAAGAATTAGGGCACAATGACTGGGTGGATGATGTCACTGCCAAAGGCCGGGGGCCCGTCTAAAGGAAGGCAGAGCATGGAAGCCAGGCCAGCGCCAGAGTGACGCTTCCTCCTGGATGTCATTGGGATGTGGAAACGGAATTAGAAAGGGAATAATTTTCTCACCATGCAAATCAGTGTTATTTAAAATTGTTTCCCAAGTAGCTAAATCTTCCCTTCTATAAGTCATAGGTGTCCCCTACTTTGAAAACAGAAAGTTGACCAAGGGCTGCCATAAATGAGCATGTGCCTGGCCAGGGCAGTGAGCAGGGCTGGGTTCGCTGTGCATTCTGACTGCTAATTCGTGCTTCTTGGGGGAGGGTTACCTTTTCTAGTTTTTACAAACTTGCCTCCTGGGCTGCTGGGAGCCTTCTCTCTCCTTCCTCTGAGCCAGCCTGCTTCTAGAGGCCTGGGCATTGCCCTGAGGGACACTATACACTTTGCATGCAACATCTCATTGAATTTTCACCAGAACCCACAGGGGTGTGTGAGTGGTGGGGCAATCTTGCTTCCCTGTTTTACAGGGGAGGAAACCAGGCCTCCGGCTTCTAGGTTTTGGTGTATCTCTGGGTTCCCTTCAGTGTCCTGTGAATGTTCCAGTAAATGCACCTGTGACTGCTTAAGCAAACTGCCGTTCACACACTTTCTCTAAGTTACGCCATCACTTACGATTTACGGGGCAACCCGATATTTTAAAATCTGCTGCATAGCATGAAATATCTTCAATGAGACCACTGTCAAGGTTCATTGACTGCTTTATTTCCTTTGAAATTTAGCTTCATTATTGAGGGGTCACTATTAAAATAATAGAAACCCAAAGCAGAAAATGCCCACAATCCTATCCCTACATCTAAACAGTTTCACCTGTGAGCGTCGCCTTCTAGACCTCGTCCTCGTGCCTGTGCAGTTTTCAGGTGTCTGTTGCGGAAAGAACATTAGCGTCTTCACACAGCAGCCTCCTCCGGCCAGGCAGTTCCATTGCACCTGCCCTTTAATTCCCTGCCTCTCTTCATTTTCCTTTTCCACTCCCACTTGTCCTCCCTCTCATCGTGTTAATTTGTGTTTGCCTATGAGTATATGAGTAAGGGGAAGGGGTGGGAGCTCACACGTGCCCACCTTGTTTCCAGCTGGAGAGAAATGCATTCTCTTTTGAGTAAATCAGCATTTACCCCCTAGGATCTCTAGGAAGTGCCTCTGTCTGCACCGAGTAGGCCAGCCCAAGCACGCTCTGCTCTGGGGAGTTGGGTGAGTTCCAGAAGGTTGCTCCCTGCGGCGGCCATCTCACTAGTGACTGACAGTAGGTTCCCTTGAGAGAGGGCCCTTCTAGAAGATTCTGTGATACCTTCAGAAAAAGACACATAGTCAATTAAAATCTGAGAAGTTGGGCCTTTTCCACGCAATTCTATTTCCGTCTATAGGACTAGGTATTATTATTATTGGTGGTGGCTGTTTTTTATGGAGCTGTTGGATGGTCCTGATCAAAGACAACACTTTTTAGAACATCCACAAATAGACACATTTTCTCGTGTCCTTCTAAGGGCACCAGAGATCATCTATAAAGTTAAGAGCACAGGAGTTTGACCCTGACCAAATTCCAGCCCAGTGACTACATGCTTCCTGCCAAAGGGAGGCCTGACTTCCCCTCTGTGTGGTGTCTTCATATACTCTACATACGTATTGCTTTACTTTGTGAAATGATTTTTTTCCAAAATAATTTTAGATTAATTAGAAGTTGCAAAAATAGTATGGAGAGTTCTTGGGGGTCCCCCAGGGATATCATCTTATGTAACCCACTCCATGATCAAACCAGAAAATGGACTTTGGCACAACAGTATGAGTACAGGTATCAATAGCAATCCTTATTTGGACCTCACCAGTTTAACCAGACATTATTTAACAAAAATTTACTTTTCCAATATAGAATTAAAAGAGATATTCAAGGTCTAAAGAGCCATGGAATCACACCCAATTTTTAAGAGGGAAAGCTTCTAAAATAAATTCAAGATCTCTACAATTTCATGCTTGTGCACAGACAGCATCTGAGCAAAGATGAAAACATGCTGTTCTTCTTTACACAAAGACGATGCCCCAAATCCATCACTGAAGGGCTCCTGCATCATTGAACACTGGGTTCCATGTCCATGCAGCTGGACATGGTGGGGCTAGCTGCATGGACATGGAACCCACACCATGGCACAGGGCCTCCTGCTCTAAAGAACCCCTGCTTGGTTTAATGTTCTACTGTCACCGTCTTGAAATTCTTAATTTTTGAACAAAGGGCCTCACACTTTCATCTTGCACTGAGGCCTGAGAGCTCTGTAGCTGAGCCTGGGTCCCAGGAGTGATGTGTGTCATCTGTTTGTATTCAGGGCATGGCCGTGGCACAAAGGAAACCTTACTGGGTGTTCGTGGACTCAAGATAGAGCTTAGAAATCTAATATTCTCATGTTCCTTCTTCACAAAGCAACAGTGAAACTTGTTCATGGATTTCTACTATGAATATCTACATTCATTAGAATTATTATACCTTTAGTACAAAAATGAAAAGCAATATGACTGCAAGAATTTCTAGTTAGGCATTTGCATCCTTTGGCGATTTATTTGAAATCAGTAAATATTTCATCTTTCTCTAATTTAGAGGTTATGGAGAGCTCTTTGAGCCAACAGGTGTGAAAAACATATATTCTACTCCCATAAGTACAGATGTAGGTGTTATTGTGAAAAAAATTACCTTAATATTGTTCTGTCTAAAAGCTGTGGAAAGCCTTGAAAATTGGAAATGTGGAAGGGAAGAGGTGATTAAAAAAAATGTGCCCAACATCCAAACAAACTGAAGGAGAAGTGGAAGTGGAAGAGGGCTTGGAAGTAGTTAAGGTACGTTTCTCCTGTGACTTGAGGGCAGAAGAGCTTTTCAGTCCCTGGCAAATTTCTTTTGCTGTTGAGTTGGTAAGACCTCAATCATAGGCTGTGTTTTCTGCGGCACTTTGTCGCAGACCTATAGACACTTAGAGATCATCCGGACATTTTTTTTCTAAATACGTTTTACAGCAGAATTCTTCTTCTCAAATGAGATCGTACAAATAACTCTATTATATATAAAACATCTAAGTACTAATTTTGTATGCAATGACATTGATAGCACACACCTATTACCAAAATAGCCAATAAAAATAATGATTCTGATGTCAACAAAAGGAAGTTGAATGTTGTGGATATAGTTTGCAAATTTATGTTAACTTAGCATGTAATTCATTCCATTATATTATTATAAACTGGTTTTTAAAGTATCAAGACAATTTTGATATACACGAACAAGCAGTTTCAAATATTAATGGTTTTTGAATAGCTCTGTTTACAATATTGGGATTCTCTTTGATTAAAGAAACATGGGACAAAAAGCTTCATTCGAGCTTCGTAAAAGCAAATTAGCATGGCATCCGAAATTCACATGTTAGTGTGGGAGACTAAAAAAGATGGAAACCACTTTCTCCTGTGCTATACAAATAATGTTCAGTATTATGATGGAATAATCCGTACATAGTGAAAATAAAATTCAGATACTCTGGCTGAAGTATCTTTGAGGAGTTGTAGGCCCTGGGGACAGAGTGAAACCAATGGCTAAGTCCACAGAAGCCCGGAGAGGAGAGATGGTGCTCTCCCGGCCACAGTGCAGCCATGCATGGTGTGGTATTAGGACCTGAAGTTGGCTTGAGGCAAAATCACCCCTGAGTCTACCTCGGAAGGAGCCAGGCTGGAGATGGACATGGTGTCTTCCTCTAACCCGGGATGAGCCCCAGGCTTGGTCAGTGAGCATCGGGTGTGAGGGTACTTTGTACGGAGCCTACATTTGAAGGGTCCTCCTCTGAGAGGCCCCTGGAGCTAAACAGACTGAGGGACAGCACCTCCAGTTAAGTGCTCCCAGCACTGGGAGCCAGGCAGGCAGCGTCCCTAGGGCTGTTTGTAGTGGTCCACACCTTGCCTCTTTGGCTAAGTATGTGTGGCTGAGTTTACCTTGGTATGATGTGGCTTCATTATGTATGTACACATGTTATATGTACAGTCATGTATTGCTTAATGATGGGGATACATTCTGAGAAATGTGTTATTAGGTGATTTAATCATCGTGTGAACCTCATAAAGTGTTTTACACAAACCTAGATGGTGTGTGAACCTCATAAAGTGTTTTACACAAACCTAGATGGTGTGTGAACCTCATAAAGTGTTTTACACAAACCTAGATGGTGTAGCCTACTACACACCTAGACTTCATGGTACAACCTGTTGCTCCTGGGCTACAAACCTGTCCAGAATGTGACTGTACTAAATACTGTAGGCAATTGCAACACGGTGGTATCTGTGTATCTAAACACCTAAACACAGAAAAGGTACAGTAAAAATACAGCTTTACAATCTTATGGGCAACACTTATATATGTGGTCTGTTGTTGAAATGTTATGCAGTGCATGGCCGTATGTATGCATGTGTATCCAGATAGATTTGTATATACAGGTGACCTTGAACAACAGGAGTTTGCACTGTGTGGGTGCACAGCAAGGCCACCCGTTTCCCCCTCCTCCTCTTCATTCTACTCTGAGAGAAGGCAACGAGGATGAAGACCTTTGTGATAATCCACTTCTACTTAATGAAGAGTGAATATATTTCCCTTAATGACATTTTCTTTCTTCTAGCTTACTTTATTATAATATAATATATAATACATATGACATACAAAATATGCATGAATTGACTGTTTATGTTATTGGAAAAGCTTCCAGTCAACACTACACTGTTAATTGAGTTTTGGGGGAATCAAAAGTTATAGGCATGTTTTCAACTGCCAGGGGCAGCAGCCCTAAGCCCCACGTTGTTCAAGGTCAACTGTGTATGTATATGACTATATGTCTATACACACATACATGTAAGTCATATATACATAGATTATACACACACACACGTAAGTGTATATGTCCGTGTATATAAGCAGGTACATAGGCATGAGTATGTATATATGAACATGTATATATGCATGTCTGTATATGTACATTATATATGTATATATATAGCCTCATGGACATACAAAATTGTCATGACATGACAAGTCGTATCATGTCACTCTCTAATTTAAAACTTTCTGATGGCTTGTCACTGCACCTGGGATACAGTCCTCAGCCTTATGACCTTAAGGTCCTATGCAGCCCATGCTGCCTTTGCTTACCTACAGCCTCAACTTGCTGTGAGCCCCGCTGCCTCCCCAGCCCTCCCACTGCCCCATCTCTTTGGGGTCCAGCCACAGGACACTCCAAGTTCCCTCCCTGCTCAGGGCCTGTGCTGTTTCTTCTGATTGGAATTCCCTTCTGTTCCATGGCCCTACGCCCTCCTCCTCCTGAGAACTCCCTGGTCTCAACTGCGTGAGATCCCCTCTGAAATCTTCCCTTGCTGATCAGGCTCACGTTTATCGCCACTCTCTGTCGCGTGTTGGCCTTGCCCTTGTGTGGCCCTGACAGTGAGGCCTCAGGTGCTGTCCTTGCTTCCAGGCCACCCCGACTTATGTGATTTAGTTGTGGGATTGGTGGGCCCCCAGGTAGCCACTCCTCCCTGTAGGTGCCAAGCCTGTTTCCCACCACTGCCCTAGACAGCACAGAGACCCAGAGCTATAGACATGGGCCAGATGAGCAGGTGACTGCTGGCAGCCCACCATGGAGAACAGTGGGCAAGGTTCAGAGGGAGAGAAGCCAAAATGAGCAAGGAGGGGCAGTGTAGCTGAGTGGGCGCAAGGTATGACTGAGGCTGTCAACAGGACAACCCTGCTGGCCAGGCGCGTTCAGGTTCCTTCCTCACTGAAGGTGTGTTTCAGCCCAGGCATGGAAAGTCTAGCCCTGAGAGCTTGTGGGGTCTCCCTCTCACCCCAACACAAAGAGAGGACATCTGGGCAAACTGCCCTGAGCCTAGTTCTTTACCTCCAAGAGAACTGCACTGAGTGTGCCTCTCTGTGTTGGGGTCAGTGTCACATGGAGGTCAGGACAAGTGCTCCTCATATTAACCTCTACTCGTTTGCTTGCAGGCTTACCCAGATTCCACAGTGCACAGACAGCTCCTGGCACCGGTGGAAGGAAGGATGGGCGAGACACTGAGTCAGGTATGGAGGGCTCCCCTTGTCCTGTGCACTGGCTGTTGGTCCTGCATCCCTGCTGTGCTCCAGGCTGGATTTGGGAACACTTCCTCCTAAATCACTGTGTTAGTCAGCTAAGGCTGCTGTGATAAAGTACCATACCGTCTCGTGGCTTAAATAACAGACATCTCGCCTCACGTTTCTGCAGGCTGGAGGTCCGAGGTCAGGGTTCCAGCATGCTGGGTTCTAGGGATGGCTCTCTCGATAGCTTGCAGAAGGCCACCTTCCCACCGTGTCCTCACGTGGGATGGAGAGAGAGACCAAGCTCTGTGGTATCTCTTCTTATTAGGGCATTAATCCCACCATGAGGACTCCACCCTCATGAGCTCACCTAAACCTAATTGCCTCCCAAACGCTCCTTCTTCAAATGCCATCACATTGGGCTTAGAGCCTCAACATAGGAATTTGGGGAGGGAACACAATTAAGACCGTAGCAATCACGTTCTTGGGGATCCTCCCTCCAGCGATGCCTTGTAGAACCCAACCTAAGATGGAATTGACACAGGACGGGCAAGTCCCAGAGGCTTCTTGGAAAGAATGAAAGGTGAGGTGGTGTGTTAGACAGAAGTCTTATTGAATGGTACGCTCCTGGCAGGGCAGGGCTGACTCATAGGCAGTGTGCTCAGACTCAGAAATGTATGGGCTGTTGGCAACTGTATTTACAGCTAGTGCTCGACTTGATGACCATGATTAGGTCCGACAGACCGGTCATAACACGATTTGGTTGTAAGTCGAGTAGGCTATATGTACAGTACCGTGAAATGATGTTATAAAAATCTTTAAGTCATATTTTATCATAATTTTCTTTCATTATTGTTATATATCATAATTTTCTTTGTTCGTTTTATGCCATTTGTATCATCTCTACACCATTTTTTTCCCTTTTATTTATTTTATTGCATTTTAGGCTTTGGGGTACGTGTGAAGAACACGCAAGATTGTTGCATAGGTACACACGTGGCAGTGTGATTTGCTGCCTTCCTCCCCATCACCTACATCTGGCATCTCTCCCTTTGCTATCTCTCCCCAGCTCCCCACCCCGCACCGTCCCTCCCCTATTTCCCCCCAACTGACCCCAGTGTGTAGTGCTCCCCTCCCTGTGTCCATGCGTTCTCATTGTTCAACATCCGCCTATGAGTGAGAACATGAGGTGTTTGATCTTCTGCTCTTCTGTCAGTTTGCTGAGAATGATGGTTTCCAGGTTCATCCATGTCCCTACAAAGGACACAAACTCATTGTTTTTGATGGTTGTATAATATTCCATGGTGTATATGTGCCACATTTTCCCTGTCCAGCCTATCATCGATGGGCATTTGGGTTGGTTCCAGGTCTTTGCTATTGTAAACAGTGCTGCAATGAACATTCGTGTGCACATGTCCTTATAGTAGAACGATTTGTAATCCTTTGGATACATACCCAGTAATGGGATTGCTGGGTCAAATGGAATTTCTATTTCTAGGTCCTTGAGGAATTGCCACACTGTCTTCCACAATGGTTGAACTAATTTACACTCCCACCAACAGTGTAAAAGTGTTCCTATTTCTCCACATCCTCTCCAACATCTATTGTCTCCAGATTTTTTAATGATCGCCATTCTAACTGGCATGAGATGGTATCTCAATGTTGTTTTGATTTGCATTTCTCTGGTGACCAGTGATGATGAGCATTTTTTCATATGTTTGTTGGCCTCATGTATGTCTTCTTTTGTAAAGTATCTGTTCATATCCTTTGCCCACTTTTGAATGGGCTTGTTAGATTTTTTCTTGTAAATCTGTTTTAGTTCTTTGTAAATTCTGGATATCAGCCCTTTGTCAGATGGGTAAACTGCAAAAATTTTTTTTCCATTCTGTTGGTTGCCGATTCACTCTAATGACTGTTTCTTTTGCTGTGCAGAAGCTGTGGAGTTTGATTAGGTCCCGTTTGTCTATTTTGGCTTTTGTTGTCAATGCTTTTGGTGTTTTGGTCATGAAGTCCTTGCCTACACCTATGTCCTGAATGATTTTGCCTAGATTTTCTTCTAGGGTTTTTATGGTGTTAGGTCTTATGTTTAGGTCTTTAATCCATCTGGATTTAATTTTAGTGTAAGGTGTCAGGAAGTGGTCCAGTTTCTGCTTTCTGCACATGGCTAGCCAGTTTTCCCAACACCATTTATTAAACAGGGAATCCTTTCCCCATTGCTTGTTTTTGTCTGGTTTGTCAAAGATCAGATGGTTGTAGATATGTTGTGTTGCCTCTGAGACCTCTGTTCTGTTCCATTGGTCTATATCTCTGTTTTGGTACCAGTACCATGCTGTTTTGATTACTGTAGGCTTTGACAAAATTCAACAGCCCTTTATGCTAAAAACCCTCAATAAGCTAGGTATTGATGGAACATATCTCAAAATAATAAAAGCTATTTACCATAAACCAACAGCCAATATCATACTGAATGGGCAAAAACTGGAAGCATTCCCCTTGAAATGTGGCACCAGACAAGGATGCCCTCTCTCACCACTGCTATTCAATATAGTATTAGAAGTTCTAGCCAGAGCAATCAGGCAAGAAAAAGAAATAAAGGGCATTCAAATAGGAAAGGAGGAAGTCAATTGTCTCTATTTGCAGACAACATGATTGTATATCTAGAAGACCCCATCGTCTCAGCCCCAAATCTCCTGAAACTGATAAGCAACTTCAGCAAAGTCTCAGGATACAAAATCAATGTGCAAAAATCACATGCATTCCTATACACCAATAACAGACTTAAAGAGAGCCAAATCAGGAACAAACTTCCATTCACAATTGCCACAAAGAGAATAAAATACCTAGGAATACAACTAACAATGAACGTAAAGGACCTCTTCAAGGAGAACTACAAGCCACTGCTCAACGAAATAAGGAGGACACAAACAGATGGAGAAACATTTCATGCTCACGGTTAGGAAGAATCAATATCGTGAAAATGGCCATACTGCCCAAAGTAATTTACAGATTCAATGCTATCCCCATCAAGCTACCAATGACCTTCTTCGCAGAACTGGAAAAAAATCACCTTAAACTGCATAGGGAACCAAAAGAGAGCCCGCATAGCCAAGTCAATTCTAAGCAAAAAGAACAAAGCAGGAGGCATCACACTACCAGACTTCAAACTCTACACCATTTTGTTTCTTATTTTTACATTTGTCAGGTTTAAGTAAAACACTGCATTACCCGTACAGCTGGTTTAATATTTGCAAAACATACAAAATTACAAAATACAGGTGCATACAAAAATATAAAATACAGGTGTAAAAAATACCATAGGAAACATTTTCCCAATTGCAAAACATATCAAAATATATAAACATGTACGAAACATTTTATTGGCCGCTGGTGCTTGGCTGCGGATCGCTGATGTCGTCATCTGAGGCAGCAGTTGGGGTTACCGGAGTTGTTTTTTTCATAAACATGGTGAGCTTTGTCTGAATTGTATGTTTCTTTTTTTCTTTTTTTATCTAAATTTCATGATACGGATGAAACACGTCGTGCGCCATCCGTTCAATCCTTGCAAATCGTTTGATGTTTGGGTTCATTGCTTCGAAATGTATAAGAAGTTTATTGGGAGGGGTTTGATGAGAAATGTCCAAGACACAAAACACAAATTGCTGTACCGAGTCTGGGATAACAGTTGAAATGGTGCACGTGGAGATGGTAGTGCTGCCGGAAGCTGGTCCGCACTGTCGTACGCCCAGCTGGGCAACGTTTGCGCTGCCAGACACGGAGCAGTCGTGGCTAGCAATTGTGGTCGTAAAGTCGAATGGTCGTAAATTGCATAGGTCGTAAGTCAATCAATACCTGTATACCCACAAAAATCCACTTTCAATCACATGCACATTAAGGGGCAGGTTGGTGCAAACTGAGGGGCTGCTTATTTCGAACTTTCTGGGAAAGGCATGGTAATTTCCGGGCCCTTGCCATGGCTTCTGCAAGCTGTCTTGGTGCTGCTGTGAGTGTCTTGCGCCAACGAGCAATGAGGGCAACCAAGGATCACCTTCGTCTCATCTGCTGGTTTCTACTATTTTTTTTGTTCTTTCACTTCATCCCATCTGGACCAGATCCTGTTTTGGTCAGCAGGGCTGTGGGCAGAAAACAAGACCTGCGGGTCTCCTACCTCAGAATGAAGGGTCTTTTTCTACAAAATTGTGAAAGATACAATTTGACTGGCCTGGAGGGGCCTATTGGGTGACTCTGATTTTAGGTATATCCAGAAAGGTCCCTCAGCACAGCCACTGTGAACTCCTGGCAGGATTAGAAAGCAGCTCGGGAGCTGGGCAAACCCACGGGCATGTCTGCCTGGATATGGCAGAGCCAGTCCACATGCTCGTGTCTGGGAGGCTCTGCGTGCCCCCTGCTTGGGGAAGGATGCACAGGAAGCTGCCCGGGCTGTTCTGACTCTCAGCGGTTCTTCCTGTTGCCAGAGGAATAATAAGCACAAAGGAAGACAGACATAGACAGGCTCCGTCAGGCTAGATTTGCTTTTTTCGCAAACACGTGTGTAATGCTCTTTGTCCTAGACTCTGTTCTGAGCACTTGAAAGATGTTAACTCTCAGTCTGCACATCTGCCTATTGGGGCAGGGGCTGCCATACACCTTTTTATAACATGAGGAAACCCAGGAACAAAGAAGCTGGGTAATGTGTTCAAGGTCACAGCCATAGAAAGCAGATGTGGGACTCAAATACAGGCAACTGGGCTCCAGGGTCTGGGCACTTGCGGAGGACACATTAAAAAGCAGCAATCCTCAGTACCAACTCTGTGGGCACTGCTGTCGTGGATCTGGGGTGCGTAGCTGTGCCTCTGAGTTGAGGTCCTGGGACCCTGTTTTGTGAAACTTGGTGGTGAGCCTGGATGTCCCCTGCTGTGGGTGTCAGAGTGGATGACAGATAGCGCTATGAACACTGTGGCTGAGGAAGTGAGTTCAGACTGTGTCTGGACACAGAGCCACTGCCTGGGGGCTCCCCAGTGTCAGCTTCCTCTGGTTGCTGTCGCTGTCCACAGGTGGGAGCTCCAGCTCTGTGCCTCAGTGACAGCCTCAAAGGCACTGCAGGCGTGGCCCCTCCTCGCTCCTGCTCCTTAGCCCTGAAGAATGGGTGCTGCCTGGCAGCTACTTTGAGAGAACACAGACTTCTCCGAGCCTAGAAGCTTCCCTAAAACCAGGCAAGCCAGGCTCCTGCAGAAGGGGCTGTGGGTCCACAGAGTCAGCGCTGCAGAGCTCTTCCCCCGGCCCTGACTGCTGGCGAGGACGATGCAGGATGAGCTGCAGGGAAATTTCCATGTGTGTCTCCTGAGCGGACTGTAACCTCCCTGAGGGCCAGGCTGTGTCATTACTGGTGCATGACATAAGGTCACTGAAGAACCACTGAAAGAACCATTTTCACTGTAACCCAATGTGCTAGATGAGTCAAAAGATGGAGGCTCAGACAAGTAGCTCCAATGATGAAGGCATGGGGGACAGAGCCAGAAATGGGGCACAGGCTGGCCGACTACAGATGGGCCCACCTCAGCCCTGATCAGGGTCCAGGAAGACCCTTATCTCTGAGCCTTGATTTCCCATCTACAAAAGAGGGTTGGGGCAGCCCTGCTACACTCTCAGTGGTGATACTCTGTGCAGACAAGATCATGTCACTACATGAATGTAGCATTTGTTGATCATGACATAGCATCTGGCTTACCCATTTTCACATATGCGCACACACACACACACACACACATGAACACACACATATGCACGTATACCGCTCGGGCCAAATGGACCACGTGGACAGGATTGCAGGTCCTGTTTGGCTGAGCAGGAGAGGGATGTGTTCCAGCTGTGGGCCCCCTCCTCCCTCTGCGGGGCAGGCAGGCAGCTTTATTGAAGGGAAGCTCACAGCTCTGCTTGGTGTGAGAGTGGAGGAAATGCCAGATTAGAGGGCCCAGTTCTTTCCTTGTGAGCCTCTAACTTGAATGGTGATGTATGATGAATTATTGATCTGACGAGGCTTCCAAAATTGCTGAATCAGGGCGCAGACACCCGCTGCTTTGCTGTTGGCCTGGGCCGTTTGAAGTCAAATCCACCCAGCACAGCCCCCACCGCAGATTCTGTTTTGCTCTGCGCACATCAGGTCCATCGTTAATTATCTATTCAGCTTCACTGCAAGGACGTGAAAGGAATCCTAACACCTAGGCCAGAGCTTGTGAATCTGCTGGTTTTGCTGCAAGAACATTCTTTCCTCTCCCTGCCCCCAGACCCCCATGCCATATGGCCCACAGTCCCTGAATAAGCAGACCCAGTCAATGGGTCGGATGTACAGGTGAGCGTTCCCACGCTTCCACTGGGCAGCACCAGGCTGACATAGCAGTAGACGGGGCCGGGAGACAGCGTTTCCCACTAAACATGGGCCCAGGTAGGGCTCCTGTGAACCAGAGGAAGCTGGAGACAGCTTGCTGCGGTCACTGGGGCAGGGGATGTGTCGGGGGGTGGTGGGAAGGGGCATAGTTAAGAGCTTGGAAGCCTAGTGGTCTCATCAGAATGGGGACGCACATGGGGTCCCTGGAGCTGCCCTTTTCAGGCCCTCCCCATCTTCCACCTTGGGCTTGAGCCCCAGGGTTCTGACTGTTTTCACGCTCTACATGAGCTCACCCTCTCAGAATCACTATCAGCAGTGACGAAGCAGACAGGCTCCCACTAAACCCATTACTGCCAAGGTCTGTGGAACTGGCTCCTGGTTCAGATAGTACCCTCTAGAGGTATTAGAAGGTAAATAGGCTGAAGCCCCCACACCTCCTCTCCTCACCCCCATCCCCTCCCTCATCACTCAGGCAAGAAACGTCTTCACAGAGAGATGACCCGGGCCCTGGATGCTGAGCTGGAGTTTTCTGGGTGGAGATTGGCAGAGGAGGACTGTGTAGGGTTCTAGCAGAGACGAAAGAGCAGATATGAAGCTTAGAAAATGTTTCTGGGGTTTGTGCACAGGGTGGACCTGAGGCGGGAGAGGTTCCGGAGAGGCGGAGATGGCGAGGAGAGGGCTGTCGGGAAGGAGGGGGAGGTCATGGCAGCCCCACGGCGGGGCGGCTTAATACGCAGAGCAGGCACCTCTGGCTCACGTCACAGATCAGGGTGGGTGTTGAGCTGGAGCCTGCCCAGGGTCCTCCCACCTGTGGCTTTGCCACCACTCGGAACTGGAGATGGGTCTGAAGGACAGAAAGAGTGAGAACAGAGGCTTGAGAGGTTTTCATGGCTGGGCACGTGTCCCTGACATCCATATTTTGTCAGTCGTGTAGCCACATCTAGCAGAGAGGCAGGAAATGTGATCTCGCTGGGTGCCCAGAAGAACAGGAAATGAGCTTGATGAGCTCCTTGCTGCTTTCACCCCAATGACTGGAGATAAGGACCTATCCTCAGGCATTGGCCTTGGGGCTGGAGAAGAGGGGACAAAGCTAGGAATATGGCTGAGCATTTGAGGAGATGAGGCGGGAGAGCTGGGGTGACTCCAAGTTGAGCAGCCCGGCTGTTGGGGATGTCCTGACTTGGGCCAGGCTAGATTTTCATGAACTCTGGTCATTCTGTCACACTTGTGTTTAACCCACTCACTATTATGTATTTAATGCATTTCTGTAACTCAGCTCACATGTTAATTAGCTTTTGGCTTTATGCTAAGCAATGGTATTTGTGCAATCATGGAGTTGATATGCTTGTTATTATGTTTTGAAATATACGATAAAATGGCCATTGACTCAAATAAATATGTGTCCTGATACCACCAAAATCATCTAATGCTGCAGGGGTCAGTGAACTTCCTGTCAAGGGCCAGAGTAAATCTTGTAGGATTTGAAGGCCAGTTCCCACAGCTCAGCCCTGCCATTGTTCCATGAAAGCAGCCACTGATGATGCACAAATAAACGGTCTTGGCTGTGCTCCAGTAGAACTTAATTTACAACAGCAGTTGGTCTGCCGGATTGTCCCCTGGGCTGCAGCCAGCCAGCCCCTGTACCAGGGAGTGTGCACCGCACTTGGTGAGCAGTGAGGGGGGGACGTGGAGGAGGAGATGCAGGTTGTGGGCCAAACCGAGTGGTTTCTAGGATGCTGAGTCTGAGGTCTCTGTGGACGTCCTTGGGGAGCTGTCTGGTTGGGATTCCGCTCTGGATGTGGCCATAGGAAGTGTCACCTAGAGAGATGATGATTGGGACATCACCATTGGTTAGGGATGGACAAAGCCATGGCCTGAGCGTGGACTGGGAGACTGGAGGGCAGTGGTCTGAGGAGCCATGTGGGTGAGAAAGGCGTGGCAGGGAGGGCTGGCCACGTTTTCTTGGGAGGAGGCTGTGAGGTAGGAGTGGATTGAAGGATAGACCTGAGCACATTTGTGGGTCACGAGAAAGGATCCCACGGCAAGAGGCCACGTAAAGATGAAGAGAGAGGGGACGGTTGTCCAAACGAGGGTCTGGGGGTTAATGGAAGGGGAGGTGTCCAGGGCACAGGACAGGGAAGGGTGAGCCCTGAGGAATGAATCTCCAAGAGGGTGGGAGCAGGTGGTGAGTCCTCCTGAAGGCTCCTGTCATACTGCCTGGGGCGGCCACCACTGTGTCACAGTACCCTGTCAGACTGGAAGGTGGGCTGTCTCCCTTCAGCATGGCTGCCACTTCTGGGACAGTACAAACTTCCTGCATCAGCCGAGGACACAGGGCCTGAGTGCTGTCACTACTGCACTGAGGTGTTCCTTGAATCATACCTACAGAGATGAGCTGGTTATGGAAGCATGTGGCATTTACCCTCTCTTTCCCCTGCTTTTCCCCAGAAGCTCCATGTTGCGGATGTGCTGGAAGACGACCCCAGCTACCTGCCTCATGTCTGCAGTGAGGTGGGGGAGTGTGGAGGGGCCCCATCCCTCAGCTCTCTGGCCAGCTCGGAACAGGAGCTGCCTCCTGATTAGCTGGACTCTTTGGGCTCAAAAGCGACGCCATTCGAGGAAATACATTCAGAGTCGGGCGTTCCTTTCTAAAACAGTGCATATTTTGGAGAATTGAAGTAATTCATGGAGGGGAATCAGTATTCCAGGATTTTTCACCTTTGTTCTTCCTTTCCCTCCTTAAAAAAAATATTGCCTTCTAGTCTTAGGATGAGGACATACTATTAGTGTGAATTAAATGCTTGGACATTCTCAGACCAACCGCCTTGAACCAAAGCAAAACCACAAGTTATGCTTTCTTAAAATTTGATTTGTCATATTTTCTAGACAAACTTAAATTTAATTGTGTTATTCTTGGCTTCCACTGACAGCCTAGCTTTGAGCGTAATTGAAAATATAACCCATAGATGACTCAGCCACTTGGGAACAGTAGGTAATACTGAAGAAAAATAAAAATAGATTTTGAAAATATTATTTACATTTCTGTGATTATGATACTCCTTCCATTTAAGGGAAAACTTAGGTAAATAGAGAAATGTTTTCTAGAACATTTGTAATCAGTATTTTAAGTGATTTACAAAAAATAAATATTTGTCCCTATTCACTTTTTGATTAGATAAATAGATGAAATATGTTATCTTGAGAGAAATGATTATGCTGAAATCTTTATAAACAGCACATTCTTTAAAAAAATGAAGAGCTGACATAATTTAACTTGTGTGTATTATGTAAGTAAAAGAGTTTAGGAGGCTTTGAATGGATAAGTTCTGGTTAGATTTTATCTTTAAACCAAACCACAAAATTTAATTGGTTTTTACTTGTCCACTTACTGCTAGTGTAAGTTTCAGGGGAGTAAATGGTTTCTTTTTAAAATCTTAATAGGGGGACATATGCCCTGTAAATAGCCAGTTTGCTAGTCTAAGTAATAGATAAGACACTGTCTAAGCAAAGTTTAAAATGCTGTTAGGACACTTAAATGCACATATTGGATATCTAAAAGTCTACAGCCCCATAAACATTTTTATATAATTAATGAGCAAAATCTTTTGTGAATGCCCTCTCTCACGCCCTAAAATAAATCCGTAGAAACATGTTTGCTGTTAAATCGGTGAAGTTTTATGTTAAACAGTGAGTTACAGCTCAGAGTTAAAACTTTTTCCTTCTTTTTGAAGAAGCTGTGCAAATACTTCTTTTAAAGAGATCTGGACTTTTTCTACCTGGTTACCTCACTTTTTCTCTGCTTTGGGAAGCTGAAAAAAGAAGAAAAATCATATTTAAAGCACTGGCATGTCTGAATAGGATGCTTGAATGTGTAGAACAGCTGTATTGATCGTAGCATGACTCAGAGGACAGTCTAGGACATTTTCTGAGTAATTCAGGATAAAAGTCATTTTTTAGGAAAATATGTGTTTTTGGAAAACAAAACAAACAAAATAAACACATTAGTTTATTTAACTGCCTCCTTATACTTGCCTCTTCCATTCTGTTCCCTGCAGATTTTTAAAAAATTCTCTCAAGTTTTGAAACTTTTTATTTTAAATAATTGACATATAATAATTGTACATATTTATGGGATACATAAGGATGTTTCAATACATTTTTCATGTTTCAATACATTTACATTGATCAGATCAGGGTAATTAGCATAGTCATTGGCTCAAACATTTTTTCATTTCTTTGTATTGGGAGGGAGCATTCAACATCCCCCTTCTAGCTATCTGAAACCGTATGTTTGCATTGCATCTGTAGATTGCTTTGTGAGGACTGTGGGAGTCTCGTGCATAAGGACTGTAGGTGTTTGCAGTGGCAATGGGGACTGTTAGGGATCTTCTGCTTACCTTTTTCCTGCAGTGGAAAGTCCTCCTGTCTCTGGGCTGATCTGATTCCGGCAGAGGAGATGGGGTACAGATGCAGGGTGCCTCTGTGTTGCCCTCCCGGGCTTCCAGCCATCACAGGTCCTTTTCTACTCCCGTGCTGCATGACAACATTTTCTTTTCAACACTCCAGTTAAAGCTTAGTTATTTGTTGCCGTGATTCTTTCTTGGTGGGGGTCTTGGGGAGCACCAGACATCTCTAGTTGGCCATCTTGCTGATGTCACTCCAGTAAACATATACTTTTGAGTCTGAATTGTTGGCAGGGGCAATGGGTGAATTGTTGGCAGGGGCAATGGGTGGTTATTGGCCCTTCCAGATTTGCCTTACTAACATGGTAAAGCACACTGTCTGTTCTTGTAAATAAAGTTTTATTGGCACACAACCATGATCATTTGTTCAGGTATTACCCATGGACCTTTTTGTGTTCCGCAGCAGAGCCGAGTAGTTGCAACAGAGACCCCACAGCCCACAAAGCCTACATCTTTACTTTTTGGCTCTTCATAGAAAAAGTGTGCTTGACTCCTTCTCTGGGGCATTCCATATGGAAACTCTACATCACATCAGACATTTTAGGATGTATTGCTATTTTGCATTAAAAACGAACATGCCGTATGAATTTTGAAAGCTTTTAAATACATTTGCTTTTAACTATAGGTAACTTATTTAACTTGCTACTGGCTACAGAATGTCAGCAGCTGTGCTGATTTGTGAATATTCCCGCATTATGAGCAGCTCTGCAACACATTGTTTCTAATAGTAATAAAATATTCATGCAACACTCATGACCTGCATGTTTAACAATTAATGAGGATAACCAAATGTCATATTTTGTAGATATTTAGTTAGACATTTACAAATTTTTAGTTTACTTTCTTCTTTGTGTATTTTGAAGCTGATACCTATATCTGTACACACGCACACACACACACACACACACACACTCACACACACACACACACACACACACACACACGTAGATTCAGATTCTGACTGTTTTCATAGGCCTTCAGTCTTGGAATTTGTGTCCAGTGAAGAAAATGGCCATGTTGGCATCTTTAGGAAGCACCCTTTGCATAGGATCCTTCAGCCTTTCCCTTTACATGCAAGTCTACATTATGTATTATCACTTTCCCCGACTGATGCCTGCAGGAAACATTTCTGGATATCTGCTGGCTCTGCTCACAAGTTCATTCTCAAGTCTAGCTACATGCTTAAAGAAAATTTCCATTAGGAACATCAGCACCAGGAGGCTTTGGTGAAAATTCTTAGCCTGTAATGGAATTCACATATTCTCATGAATTAAACCAATTCTTGCTGATGGCAATGAATAAGGCAATAAACTGAAATAGTAAATATTTTCAGAGAAAATGTGATTTTATTATGAACATTAGCCTCCAAATTACTTAGCAGTCCAAAGATAGCTGCAGTCTGAGACGTTAAATATTTATTTTGCATTTCATCAATTTTGGTTTTTATGTGCGATAACAATCATTGGTTTTGTGGAGCTTTTCATCTGAGATGCTCGTTTTGCTTGCTTTTATGATTTACTAAACACAGCAGATAGCTCAGTGGTTACAACTTTCCTCTTCCCAAGTGAAACACTGACTAAGGAGACCTCATTTTATGTTTCTAAGAAGTAGACACAGCCACCGTCCCCTCAAAGATGACCTGTGGCAGCCGTCAAGGATATCAAGACAGTGCCAGGTAGAGGGTGTTTCTGAGATGGCTTTCCCTCATCAGGAAGCCCCTCTGTGTGGCAGAGCCTGCAATCTTTGTCTAGCCATTGTCTTCTCTGAAATGTGTGTGTCAAAGGCCAAACAAATCTGCTATGAAGAAAGAGAGTATAAATAATTCTGGAGCCATGAAAACAGTCTTTTAACTTTTCCCAATACAAGCCTTCTACTACTGAAATGTTATGCAAGTATGAGGCTGCAGAGACTACTGGTTGCCCTAAAATGTGTTCTCTCTTCTTCTCCAGTAGAAGAACCCTGAGTCTTTTCTGTGTACATGCCAGGAAGATTGGCAGCAACATTTCCCATCCTGCGTTTCAGCGGGGCATGGCTGTGTGACTACATTCTGGCCAATGGGAGGCAACTTCCAGGAAGTGTCCTTGAACAGAGTGATGTGTCTGTCTCCTCTCCCTCTTCTACTGTCTGGGCTTAGAATGTGATGGCTGGAAGTGGGGCAGCCATCAGAACCGATGCATAGTGTGGTAGAGCAGAGAGAGGGAGAGGTGCCTGGGCACCAGGAAGCCCACTCCGCATGAGGAAGAACTAAATGTGTCTTGTTTAAGCCATTGCTCTTTTGGATTTTCTGTCAGTCATGGCCAGATCTAATCTTAACTGATACAAAACAGAGAACCAGAGAAGTGAGCTCCAAGCAGCAGAACTTAAGCACATGGCGTTGGCTGAACGGATGTGTTCAGGCGGCAGGCGCTAAACATTGTGAGCAAGAGAGCCCATGACCCTGGTTATACAGAAACAAAGCATTTGATAAAAACCACTGCCTGTTACTTTTTGAAAACCAGCCCATGTCCTGACAAGGATTGATGCAGGAAATGGCAGGATAAATTTATAATGTAAAAAAAAAGAGCATTAGCTGCTTCTCACTGCTTTTAGCAACATTCTACGAGAGAGAGCTGGACTTTGGCTCCTGCCGGCCGGCACCTGAGCAAGAATGAAAGGAAACAGTGTGCTGATGGCGACACTCTGCCTGTGGACTGCGTTTTAAGTTGACTAAGAGCTTGGTGATTTGGAGCCTTGCAGGCTTCAGAAAGCAACTGTGTGTTTCGCAAACTACATCAGTCGTAGAAATTGTTTCTGCAAAGCAGCCTGCTTAGCAGAAAATAAAACCAGTGCCCCATCCCACCAATTTGGAACTTTGTGTCAAAAGTCATTTTAAGCGTTTTGTCTTCCCAGCTAAGCCCTTGCTTCCCATGGCTGCAGGTGGGTACCATTAGGCTGAGAGAGAGAACATATCAGCAGAGCACAGAGGCCCATTAGGAAAACAAACAGAAGCTTCAGCATTAAAAACGTGTCTTCACAGCAGAGCTCAGTGGAAACAAGCAGATCTGAAGTCTTTATGTTTTTAAAAAATGCTTTTGCCGAGGAAACCAGCAGCCTGGTCTGTGAATGCTTGTGATTGTTTAACCCCAAGGTGATCCCTGGAACCACCAACCTTCAAAAGAAGAAGCCGACCGTGAGCACCGTGCAGCCTCAGGAAGGGCTTACCCTCTGCTCCTCACATCGGGTGCAGCAGTGGAGATAAAAGTAGGAAGGAGCCTCCGAGAACACGAGGCCGTGACTGTGG